TCATGAAAATTACAGAACCTGATTGCTCTGAAGATGTCCTTTGAATAAACCATCGGTAGAATTCATCGGATGGATGTCATGAGATTCTGAGGATAACCCATCATTGAACGAATTATCCAATCTATCACCACCATAAATGCTGTTCATTTCCGTATTGTAAAACATTTTACCCACTTAGCATCTAACTAAAAATCATAAAAATATGAATAATTGATACTATTATTATGTGAAAATGAACGGCAACAATCGGAATTTCCTGAGAAAAAGCAAACGAAGCATTGTACAAATTTGATTTAATTAAAATTACGATAATTTTATAGGAAATTTTACCTCATGCTTTACATTTCATAATTTCTTTAAGTATTTCTTTCAAGATTTTGTTGAAATAATTTTGCAATGTATTTCATGAGACAGAAAGCTGCCAAAAATTAGGAAGAAAAAAGGAAAATGAATAAATTATTTTACAGTTAAGTGATAGTATGCAAAAAAATAACCCGCATGATTAAAATTTAAATATCGTTAAAAAATATGTGTTCTCATTTAAAGTGCAAAACTGATTACAAATTTAAAACTTAATAATAATAGTAACAATAATAATAAAAACAACGATACGAATAATTTATAAATATGTAGAATTTGATGAAATACAATCACTTGTTGAAAGAAAAAGTATTTTTGTACTAAGAAAAATGAATGAAAAGATAGAAAATGTAAGAAAAAAATTTTATACATATGGAAGAGAATTTTCGTTTTAATTTAATTTTTGGATCAAGAAGATAACATTGGAGAAGAGCAATTGAATATTGTTCACAATAAAAAACGAAGAGTGAATTAGTTCAAATAAAATATTCAGCTTAGAAAGAATATTTTCATTCTAGCTAGATTGAATGTTATCGGCAGCATTTCTTTTTTCAAACAATTATTTCTGTGCTCTGTGCAAGTGAAAATTTATGAATGTGAGAACTTGATGAAATTTAATTAAATATTTGGTGAAAATGAAGAGCGCCAAGAATTATATTTTTTTTTCCAGGAAATTTCAACAGTAAGCTTGTGAAATGATACAAGAAAAAGAATTTTTTTTTATATCGAAAGAATAATTTAATATTCACGAAGTAGGCCTTCATTCCAGTTTGAATTTCAGATGACGTCACCAGAAAAAATTATCAATCCAATCAGTGCGATATGTAAAAAATACAGGATAAATCCATTTCGCATTCATTAAAAATGTACATATCGAAGTTGTTCGCCTTTCGAAAATTCACAGCTTAATTACTGTTGCCCATCACTCAATCAATGATATTTCTATGTATAAAAATCGTAAATTAATTGTTGAACTGCGGAATTTATTTTACTGACAAAAAAAAAGATGTTATTATCAGGCCAAAAAATCATGAAGGAAAAAGTGAATTGAGAACGATTAAAAAATTCTCCATTAATTATCTTAAAACAGATCTACCTGCTATTGATCGTAGGTTGAAAGAAAAAAATCTGAAATAGGTGTGCAATGTTGCAACCCTAACAGTACTTTTTCACATTTCTATTTAATTTTAATTTATCCATGATAAAGCAAACAAACTATGTTGCAAAGATTATTTTGAGAGATGTTAAATCAGAAAATGACTTAAAATGGTAAATTGGTGCAATCAGCAGAGAGTAAAATTGGAAAAGGTCACAGATCATCATGTTTCGTTATTATACACACATACACATACACATACACATACACACACACATAC